TACTTGGAAGGAGCAAATGTTCCCATTCTTAAGTCCTGGAACTCACTGAGGAGTTTGGGAGGAGTACTGCAAAGTACAGCTTGAGGCAGTTCTCAGGCTTTTTGAATGCAGGTAAATGTGAATAACTCTGGCCTTGCAGAAGGGCTGACTTGAGTGCTGCTGATGCCTGTTCCTGGGATGTAGTTATCTGGGAATGGGTTGGCTCAGTACCTGGGAAGTGGCTGTCCTGAAGAATGACACGGGATCTTTGAACTTCACACTGTAAAGCTTCAGTTGGTGTGATTTTATGTAACCTCTACACTTAGGGTAGACCTTTCTGTCCAGCAATAGCCCATGCACCCCAAAAGAGCTTTCTGTGCCCTTATGGGGGAGCAGGGTAGGTGATCGCAGGGTGTCTTGAGTTGTAAACCTGGATAGACTAGGATAAACCTAGTAGGTCATGTGAATATTGCCTGTGCTGTCTTCAGGTTATCCCTGTGTGACCTTGCGGGGTCAGAGCGCTGCAAAGACCAGAAAAGCGGGGACCGAATGAAAGAAGCAAACAACATCAATACCTCCCTCCACACACTGGGCCGCTGCATTGCTGCCCTGCGCCAGAACCAGCAGTCCAAGTGAGCATCCAGAACGCCACAGGGAGCGTGTGGGGAGGCTGTTTTGCTTTTCCATGGGCTCACTCTTTTTTTTCTCCCCATAGATTGAAGCAGACTGTGGTTCCCTTCCGGGACAGCAAGCTAACCCGCGTGTTCCAGGGTTTCTTCACTGGACGTGGGCGCTCTTGCATGATTGTCAACATTAATCAGTGTGCATCTACGTATGATGAAACTCTGTATGTAGCCAAGTTCTCAGCCATTGCCAGCCAGGTAAGCAGCACACACCAGGATCACGGCATGCTCAGGATACGTCCTGCTTCTGTGGGAATGGGCCCCTTTCCATCACAACGCAGGGGGAATGCTTGCAAGCCTTCCCTATGCTTCTCCAGTGGATAATTACCTTTACAGTTGTCTCCAGATTCTGTTAAATTGAAAGGGCTGACAGGCTGCAGAGAAGTGCCATGTTTAAAGACTATGCGACTTCTAGGCTTTGTGGACTAGTAATGGTGGCCTTTCCCCTTTCAGCTTGTTCAGGCGCCTCCCACAAAGCTGGGACTTCCATCCATCCAATCAATCATCAAAGAGCACAACAGGCGAACCAGCGAGGGTTCAGAGGCAGCAGCAAAGGAAGAAGTGGAATTGGAAGAGGACAGTGAGGATGAAGCAGATGTCTCCATGTATGAGAAGGAGGTGGGCTGTGAATTTGTACAGCCTTTATGGATAGAGGGGTGAGAACATGGCTGTTGGCTTTGGCCTGGGAGGTGGGGCTGGAGCTCAGCACTGTACCAGGAGATGACCGAGAACCTCCAAAGGATATGGGACCCAGGAAACTGGGAATCTGAGGAAAACATTCCACAGTTGGTCTAAATCTGAGGCACATGCTTAATTCAGAAACACTTTGTCATCTGTGGAATAGGGCTTGGGTGCAGATCTATAAGATCTCTACTCTGCAAGGGAAATCTAGAGATCAGAAAACATGCAAAACAAATGGCTAAATTAATTGAGGAAAAACAATCAAACTCCTAGATACTCAAAGTGGGCAGCTGGAATAGCTGAAGGATCAAGATGGAAATCGTATACACCTACAGAGACTTGAGTTGTAATGCATCAAGGTAGCGAATGCAGGTGCAGCCCTGGGCAGTGCAGTAGAGGAAGCTGCTCTGAAGACATCTCCATCTGGAGTGCGGTGTTTAAGCCATCTCATGGGAGAGGAATTAAGAGCAAACCTGGCAACTTCTCTTTCCAAGTGACTAAAAGAATCTTAAACCTAGATGACCCCAGCCTATGGATATGGGATCAGCTAGCTGCTTCTAGGTCTTAGTTCTGTTGTGCAGTGTGGGCAATGGACTCTGTGTCCTTCTTGTAGGACTTGTTGCGTGTAGTGGAAGCTGCACGAGAACTGCTGGTGCGAGAGCGGCAGGAGAAGCTGCGACTAGAAATGCGCCTCCGTGAGGAGATCTGCAATGAGATGCTGGAGCACATGCAACAGAAGGAGCAATGGTGCAGGTACAGCTTATGCTGAATCTCTCTCCCTCTGTTCAGGGTGGGCTACAATACTAAGAACTGCCAGACCCTGACCTGTAGTTGTTTGCTGTCTTTGTAGCCAACATGTGGATGCTCAAAAGGAGCTCCTGGAGGAACTGTATGAGGATAAACTGAATAACCTGAAGGAGTCGCTAACCGACTATTACCAGGAGGAGATCCAGGTTTGTTCAGGGCAATGGAATGACATCAGGATAGTGGCAGTGGGCTGGGAGGGGACTCGGGGTACTTGAGTCCAGGAAGGTGACTTACGCAAACTGAGGGGAAAAATTTTGCTTTTTGTGGTATTTTTTGTGCAACTATTTGATAGCTTGATCCACAATTTTTGCTTCTTGTCTCCTGCTTTACGTAGTTCACTAGCTTTCTGATTTTCAGCCCTAAATCTGGAAGCTAATGTGCGACCATTCTGACTGTTCTGTTTGTTCAAGGTGATTCTCTCCCCTTTTACTCTTTTTGCTAGTGGCTTGCTTTGCACTCTTCAGATTAACACAAGTTCTGTGAATTTCTCTTCTTAATCTTAGTCATGATGATGGCTATGGGCCTGTGTATTTTTCATGCTACGGCATTTGAGTGGCCTCTGGGACTTGCTGCAGACCTCTCTGAAGATGCCAACTCTCAAAAAGTCCCTTGTCTTTAGAGGCTGGGAAAAAAGTGGTTTAGGGTGTCAGGAAATGGGTTCACTGTTTTCAGTTAAGGGACATTAAAGGCTGGGTCCAACGTGTTAAGTGTGTGATTGAGAGTCTCCTGGAAGAAAGACATTGAAAGCTTCAGAAAAGCTGTGTTAAGAAAATCTTGTTGAATATTTGAACAAACTTGCTTTTTAAGGAGCGTGATGAAAAGATTGAGGAGCTCCAAGTTGCTCTGCAGGAGGCAAAACAAAAATTGGAGAGCCTGGATACGAAGCAAAAGGACTCGGGGCAAGGCTTGCGTCGATCAAAGCGAGTGGCTACCTCAAGCGCTCTGCAACAGGAGCTGGCAGATACTAAAGCCAGTCTGGAGCAATGTCAACTGGAGTTAAAAACCACAACAGCAGGTGAGGCAGCACTGGCTCTGAACTATGGCTGAGCAATCCTTGCGGAGGGTTAGTGATAGTTCTCTTCAGTAGGGTACACTGGGTTCAGACATCCTGAAAACACTATTCTCAATGGTAGATGATAGGAATAATGTGCTGGATGGATGGGGCTTCATTTTCACATGAAAATGGACTTTAGGGCAGGATCATCTCGCTGTTCAAATCCTAAAGTCCCTTTGTGTAACTGCAAGGGAGAAGCCTGGAATGCTTGTGCACGTCTGCACAAACTCACAGCTTTTCTCAGCTTGCCTGTGGCAGCTTGTCTCTAGGGAAGTTCTGACTTGAGAAAAACTGAAAGCTTATGAATGTGCTGTTGCTCATGACTTCTTGTCTGTTCCTAGAGTTGCGCAAGTACCAGAAATTACTGGAGCCACCTCCCTCTGCCAAACCCATTACTGTGGATGTAGACAGAAAGCTGGAGGACGGACAGAAGGTAACTTCATCTCTGTGTTACAGAAAGGAACATTTGCAGGACAAAGCGGTTGCCAATTTAAACAGTATTTGGAGCTGCTGTCTCCAGGTTTTTAAACAAATGGTTGAAGTTGAAATGGGTGTGTTGAAAACAAACCCTTAGTAGAGATGCAGAAGGTGTTGGTATCTGTGATCCCAGTGTACCTCACTGAGGGGATCCTCCCTCAGTACTGTATGTCTGCATTACCCTGGAGTGGCTTTGTTTGCAGAGCAATGTCAAAGCTAGATGTTGTATTCAATCTCTCTCCTGTAGAATGTCAGATTGCTGCGTTCAGAGTTACAAAAACTTGGCGAGTCTCTCCAGTCTGCAGAGAGGGCGTGCTGCCACAGTACGAGTGCAGGGAAACTTCGAGAAATCCTCTGCACGTGTGATGACATTCTGGCTAGACAGGTAATGTGTCTTTGTTGCAGGTTGCACAGGGGTTTTAGTCTGTGCGCTTTGCCATGCTCAGCAGAATAACCTAGGTTCTTGCAGCTGCAAATAAAAATGACATTCTCTAGATGCATATTGTCTGTTACATTAAGGCAGCTATATTGCTATTTTTTCCAATGGCTGAGTCAGACTGCATATCAAACTCTCCAAAGGAGACCCAAACTGTTCCTGTTCAGTTAACTGACAGCCTGCACTTGAAGTAGGAGAATTCAGAGTTCTCACTTCCCTATCCCCTTCACTCCATCACAGTTGCTATCACAGTGTGTGTGCAGCAGGATGGATTCAGCTTTTTCCTAGCCTTACTGTTCCTGTTTTGTTATTGAACTGCTACACTGTTGACACCAGAAGCTTTTTATGCATGGCCTTATTTAGCATCCCAGCTAGTGAGTTTTGACAAAAGCTCTTTATCTTCTTCAGTTCCTAGTAGCCAGGGAGTTAAGCAACTTGTTGCATCTCCAAAAATACCACCTTCCCTTTCTCAGGACCAAACACTGGCAGAACTGCAGAACAACATGATGCTGGTAAAACTAGACTTGCGGAAGAAAGCAGCTTGTATTGCTGAACAGTACCACACGGTGCAGAAGCTCCAGGCTCCTCCAACATCTGCTGTAAAGAAACGCTTCTGTGCCAACAGGGAAAACCTACAACCTAACCAACCTCCTGGTAAAAAGCCCTTCCTGCACAACTTTCTGTCACGTTCAGCTACCCGGCCTGTTGCTGCCAGAGGGTGGCAACTTCGTTCAGTTGCTCTATGACTTTTCACAGAGAGATCCCTGCCCCACTATTACTGGAACAGGTGGCAAATCCAATATGATAGCATTTGTTTTTCTTTATGTGCTTGTTTATTGTTATTGTAGCTGCTTGAGAGCTTATGTAAACATTTTTGGGTATGTATGGTTAAACTTTTAATTGATACCAAAGTGGACAAAATGACCTTCTGAAATTTAAACACTACAACAAGGAAAGTCTTTAAATATAAAACAATGTGGATGATCAAAGTTGTTTAACTCACTTTTAACTTGTCCTTTTGTTTTCATTTTCAACTATGTTGGCACATAATTCAAAAATAAGTTCACAAGATCCTCTGTGAAAGATATTTTCCCTTCCTTGAATTATAATCCTTTATTAAAGTATACACGTTCTAGTTCAGGGCTGTTCTCTTGGATCTTGGCTTGCAATTCTGGCTCCAAGCGTGTTACAGACATAGAACTAAGCAAAAGAAACAATAAAGTGGTTATACATAGCAAGCACTTGAATGTAAAATAAGAAGGATGATGCATCTGGTTAAACTTCCTGGACTGTGAAAAGAGTTTTGAGATTTTTTTTTAACTCCTTATGAAGGAAATCATCCTCAGACCAGTGGCAAATGAATTCCTGCTTAAAAGGCAATAAGATAGTCTACAGAGTCAAGAAATGGCTGTTGCTACTACCATGAGGGTAGGAATCTACCCATTGCTTGAGGCTGTTGCTGGCAATAGCAACTTACCTTCAAGGTGTTTTTATTAAATATAATGTATTTGCCTATTTACCTTACTGCCTGATTTTATTCAGTTGAATAAAAGGTTTATTTTTATAAGAGTCATCTCAAAGTAACATGAATTAAGCTGCCAGGTCCTGCGAACAGCTGCGCTTTCTTCAGTACAGTTTAAGGTCTCGCCTTCCTCTGAAATGGAGCGCCTTGGTTAAAATCAAGACGATGCTACTTTGTCCAGTCACCTCTAGGTAGCCTGGTGACACTTTGTTACCACAGTTCTCTATTCTGTGCCAGGCAGTCTGACACCATCTATTTCCCTGCTTTGTTGTATTCAGTCAGTCACGTTGGATGAGAGTTAGGCATTGTTTTCTGGAAGTCAAAAGCTTCAGTTGCTCAATATTTTAACAGATTCAGCTCCAGCTTGCATTGTTTAAGTACAATTGGCAGCTTTGTCAAGTTTAGACAACCACTAATAATATGAAAGGGACAGCTTAGCTGAATTTAAGATCCTGTGCATAAAACACACTGCAAACTGAGCTAACTTTATGTGTAGGTAACCCATCCAGGTTTCATTATGATTTTGGCTACAAGGAATATTGTTTCTAAGACAGTTTTCAGTACTGAATTTGTGTATTGATAAAAAATTCTTTCTGGAAAAAATCAAATTACAAATATGCACATCTAGTCAAGTGCTGTTCTGTATAACCAGAGGAGCTTCCAGCTGAAATGAGCTTTGATTGTATTTAATGAAGCCATAACCTTACTGGACATGAATATATTGTTTGGACCACATTAGCCTCTTTTATGTATCATCCCAGTAATTCCTAATTCTGTATTATCAACCTCAACCTTCTCAGCTTGAAATAGCATAGTTAAACTACTCGCCCAAACTTCTCATTCACTACCCCTATGTAGCTGCATCTCAAGCTGCTAGGAGTTTGTGAACAAACGTGCCAAATTCAACTATTGTATATTACTGATAAGTAACATAGTTATTACTTTTCTGAATATTCTCATGTTTATCACACTTGTTATATGGGAATTATGACTGTATGCTCTAGGGGGCAATGACCACTCATTTCTGTCTTTCTGCAGTACCTTGCATGCATGTGGGGGTGTAACATTAAGAATAATGTAACAGGATACGTACCTTTTTTGAGGAAACAGTGCACAACACAGGGGTGTTGCAAACACAAGACTAGAGGAGACAAAAATGGGTTTACAATATTTAGGGTTCTAAAAGAGAACTCAAAACCCTTAGGCATGGCCTTCTAGGCAGAAAGCTTTTTTTTTATATACAGTGAGGTAAAGTTCTGTGAAGTGTGCTATGTAACCTTTATTTCTCACTGCATTATACCTTATGAAATAATTTACCTACTATGTAGTACTAAATGCATCCATACCATGCTTACAAATGTATATAAAATTATCATTTAATGCCCTTTCAGTGTTTTACATTGGTGTACCTGACAATATAAAATGCTAGACAAGAGCAAACCTCTCCATTAATCAAATGTTTCAAGAATTCATCAACCTACAGGATTAGATTCCAGTTATTGTTGATGGTGGCAGCAGCCAAAGCATCTTTTCTAATCAAGCTGCTGCATGCTGTTTTTTGCCACTCCCTTTCTTTCTCCCTCCTTCTGCTTTTCTTGGCAGCTTCTTCATTGCTAACGGCTTTACTTTAATATGGTATAATCAGTTACAGATATGGAAGTGAAGTAACTGCTGTAGCCTCATCAACTCTCTCAACTTTTTTTCTTTAAACAAAGTACAAGTATTGCTACTTCCTCCAAAAAACCTACAAGTACCTCTTAAAATAGCAGACACAACCCAGAGAAATCACTTACCAGAATCCAACTAATCCAACTTGAATGGGAGCACTCATCCAAGGAAATCTCTGTTAAAAATAAACCGCACACAGTGAGTATGGTATCTTTTCTCTCCTGCTTCCCACCTTCCTGGAATTCTTGTATTGTAAGAGACAGATTGTATCTAAAAGACTCTTCGACATGATGAGGGCAAAACAATTACCAGCATATCTTAAAGCTGAGCTCCAATTTGAGAGCCCAATCCCTTTGAAAATCAAGAAAATTCCCAGTGATATCAATGTAGACTGCTACCCTGAGTAAGTGTCCCTTAGAAGCTGCAGTAGGTGGTTGATTGTTTTACTTACAGCCTGATCCTGAGTACATGGGCCATTTCTTTGAGTCACGTGAGCCCACAGCAACTAGCAACGCAGCTGAAGTTGGGAGCGGTGCTGCCACACCTCCTAAGGGCACAGTGAATTTTGCCCAGGCATCCCTAAGAAGAGCTAGGTCTGGTTACAGCTCCTGTCTCTTCACCGGCATCAAATGGTTTTAACTTAAAACAGGAGATCTACTTTGTGAGCAACAGCTACAGCAGCCACCAACCATAAATAAGGGAGGTGTCAAGGAAAAATGTAAGTCTGCCTCTCTTAGCCCTTTCTTCTGTCTTATGATTCGCTCGGATGTGTAGGAACTTGCTGCTGTAGCAGTCTGGTATGCTCCAGTTCTGCAAGAGTTCACCTTTCATTAAAAGGAAAAAAGGTTAGAAGAATTGGGGAAACAAGGCTGAGAACGAATCGTATAATCTATGGATGCATTTTTAGCATATTCCTCTTTACTGTAAATCTTGCAGAACTTGAACATATGCCAAGAAATACGATAGTGTTCTTGTAGGCCTTTAAATGATTTAGGAATCCTCTCCCTCCCATGTTAGAATTTTAGTTGAAATTAATTATGAATGAAGTAAAACCAGGCCTGTTTAAATGACAGTGCTGCAATGGCCTTTTGCTGCTACAGTAAAATCATTGTCTCCAGTAAGCAGGACATACACAACTGCTATGATAACGGGAAGCTGATTTTAAACCAAAACAGTTAATGAGTTAAAAATCACATGTCACGTGGATGATGTTTGCAACAAAGATGATGTTTTTTTCCTGCAAGAAGCATTTTTCAAGATGTAGAAGTTAGAGGGGATACTGGTGAACAAAAGATGGGCACTATTTGGGAGTAGAAATAGAACAAAGAAATTCAGAAAGCTCGGCTGGACAAAGCCTAGTGCTAAGGAAGGTCAGAGCAGTGCAAGAGACATGGACAACAAGCCTGTGTGGATTAAACTTTCTCCAGAGCCTGAGGGTGAAGAAATAATTTAGAAGATTGCTTCTTTTTTCTTTTTTTTTTTTTTTCTTTTCCTGGAGTCAAGCTGTAATCCAGAAATGAGTGCAGGAAGAACTCTGCAATTCAGCAATAACCTGCAACAATAGATAACAAACGGAAAAAAGACAGCGATAGCAAGAAGGATAAAGAGTGAATGCAGCAGTGCTCTGCTGTTCTGGCATTCCAGTAAACACAACTTAACATTTGACTCTCAGCTGAGATCAGTTCACTCCAAATGCTTTACATGTTGTGCATTGGGAGAGTTCATGACAAGAGGTGGCGTGGCCGACAATGGAAGGGCTGTAGCACTGGGGCACTGGTAAATATTACATGTATTTGGGAACACAAACCAAACTCTACTGCAGGCGACTTCAGTCTCTGAGGAGAATTAAGGGAGAGGGCTGCTATGCATTGCAGTGTGAGCATGGGACCTGAGATGATATATAACAGAAAAGCCCCAAATATGATTTTATAACTGAGAAGACTGTTGGCGGGTGTCATAAGAGTGATAGATGATTTCATGCCTTTATCAGAGCTGGTCATTAATCTGAGAGAGAGAGGTGTCTACTAGTACAGACAATACAAACAACATCTGCTTCATATGGTGGAACATTTTTTGCCAAGGTACTTGATCTGAGTTACAGCCTTTCTTTTTCAAGAATGTTACCAGGCTGCACTAATGAAGAAAGATGGCGAGGTAAAACTGACACTAGGAGATCAATATTAAGAATTGGGAGTTGCCCAGGGAACAATGTAAAACAATAAAGCAAAACTGAAATGCAGGCCTTATATCCCTCCAAAGAGATAAAATGGAGAAGGTACAAGACAGCAGAAGAATTTACTGTGTTAGAGAGCTATCATTTAACCCCAGAAGGCGGCAGTTCCTGATGAATTAGGATTTAATTTCCAGATGTCTTTATGGCATCTTTAGTGGTTTAGTGCAAACAGAGAAAATGGAGAAATGATCATTAAGCAAACAAAAGCCATAATGAGAATCAGCTCTTTTTCTAGCTGCTTCCTTTCATTGTTGGATCTCAAAATCCACCAGCTTTTCCAGGCGAGCTATGCCTTGTTTCAAAAAAATGAATAAATGAAATGACAGTTAAATTAGGAATGCATGGAGGACTCTTAGGCATCAGACATTCAAGAATGATGCTTAAAAAAAAAAGGCTCTCTGTTCTAGTTTTGAATACGTATTATTTTAGTTGCAGACTAAGAAACCCCAAGTAGCTTGTTTTAAGGATATATGAGGAAATTTCTGGAATCAACTTGAATGCTAATACTGTATGCAGAACAGGAGAGAAACAGTAGCTGAAGCTGCAAGAGTAGCAAAATCAATTAAAACTTCAGTGTTGATTGGAATTTTCAGAAGTTGCTATGGAAAAAACAGTATCTTTCTTTAGGAGAAGGGTTACCTGTAACTAAAACAGATCTATAAAGGCTGGGCCTCAGGGCAAGACTGTTTATGGATCCTCCTGCTGCAGCAGATAACTTGGTTCCGCACAGAGCTAGTGAAGTGTATGTCAGTACGGATAATGAACATAGACATTAGACAGCCTAATCAAGAACTACTACGCTGCATCATCACATAAAGGGCAGCCAAAGCCACTGCTGAAGCCTTTAGCAAAAGCACATTTATATGAAAAAATATTTTTTTCAAGTCAAGAAATAATTAGATTCTTTTTGAAGCAGTATGTGCTTGTGTTCTAAAAATATTCTTGAGTCATTTTCTAGCAATAACTGCTGGGAGTATTGTTAATTCATGCTAATGTTACCATCAAAACGTACTTGTACAAAACAATGTCAGAATATGGGGGGTGAATAGTGCTATATAACCTACATCTTATTGCAAATATCATAGGATGATAGCCTGCTATCACTGAGACCAGCATTCCAGAAGCATTTCTTTCTCTCTGTCTTACTGCAGAACATCATTCTACTTTCTTCATTATTCCACAACCATTTGACTATTTTCTGGACTCGTGTGTTGCTTAGTAAGCTCTGGCAAGCATACAAGAATTATTTTCAAGAGTAATGGTGTGCAAAGCAAAGGCTAAGGAAAATGAGTTAGTAAAGCATTGTGTGGATGGTGTTGGAGTACCGCAAATGGGATGGTGCTTCTGAAACCTCAAGAGAACATGCAGAAGCTGCTTGTTAAAAATGCAGCTCATTCCTTAATGGTTTTAATACTAATCTCTACGACGTGTTACCACTGACTACCTGCAGAGCAGTGTTTCACCTGAACTCACAGTCTTTGAGGCTGAGGGGGAGGAACAGGTGAGCATAAACGGTCATGATGGTACCAAAGACCACTGAGTAGTCACTGAAGAAATCGCTCATTTTTGCTGATCTGAAAAATTCACAACACCCTTATATTGATTATACCACACAAAAACAACAGATATTTGTCTCCAAACCCTGAGGATTGCCGCAACTTTTTCACAAATGTCATGTATTTGCCAGTTGAGTTGATAGCACTTGTGACATTTTCCCCACGTCAGATACAGATAAAACAATCTTTGCTCTAAATTTATGATTTTTCTTTTTTAAACAAAGGTTAATGTTCTGGGTAATACATCCTCAAGAACATAACAGTATCACAAGCTGATTAAAGCTACTCTGCAAACAGGGTATGGGTCAACAGAAACCAGCAATTAAGAACTAGCCAAATCAGTGTAGGGCTCTTTACGCTGCAGACAAATGGTGTATTTGGATGCACTGCAGTCTCGCTTCTTTCGGGAGATACAAGCAGCACACACTGACTTTCACTCTCAAACTCAAATGCCACATTTCCCCTTATTACATTCCGAGCAACAGTGTTTTCTGTTAACAACAGGGCAGGGAAGTAAAGCACTTCAGGAAAAAAAGTTTTTAAAATTAGAAGACACTTGGGACCTCTTTCCAGTGCCACATTTATATATACAGAAGCGCTTTCAAATGGTGTATGTAACTGGGTATTCTAACTCTGCACAAGAAAAATGAAGGGCAGAAAAAACAAGAAACAGAATTTAAATATTTTAGAAAGCTTTATCTTAGACAAACAAAATCAGGCAACTTCCCCTGCTTGTTCTCCCAGTCCCCACCCAAACCACTTCTCCAAGGGAGAGTCTGGAGACTCAGACCATGTTTTCTTTTCCTAAAAGGAAGGAGACAGATTCTCTCAGGCTACTGTTCCCAGCTTGCTGGGTAGGTTTCACAGGCAGAGACTGCCTGGAGCTATGCAGTAAGTAAATCAGTGGCATCAGCTGGTGAAGAAGAAACTCCCTTTACTGGTAAAGTTACAGAGTTCCTCATCTGAATATTATTCCTCTTGTGTTAAGACAACCCTATACTTAATTTCATTATTGTTCTTTACCCTCTCATGCACATAGAGTGCATAATTTCTGATTTAGTTTATATATTTACTACCACCGGGTGTTCGACTTCACACCACATTAGCATAAACAGAATATAGGATAAGTAATCTTTAAAGAAGCCTGCCCATTCCACACCTACTCTGCACTTGCTCATCCAGTAAATTTTAAAGGATCATTTTCAAGATATTTTTACCATTGTTGTTTTCAAAGTCAAACTGCTACTACAGCAGCTAAGCAAAGCCTCCTTATTGCTATCTTGAGAAAAAAGCATTATTAAATTTTTCTACATTTTCCTAATAAACTGTATTCTAAGTCTCAGTACAAGGAAGGCTTATTTGCTAGGAGGAACTCTGCATGTTAAGAACAACTATAAAAATAACAAAAATGTTCGTATTTTCTTAATGTTATTTTGCACTGTGACAAAAAGTACCACGTTATCTCTGTCTAAGAAAGGCATAAAGAAAGCGACAGCTGTAAAGCAAGCGCTACAGTGATGTCCTCCCAGAGTGTTTGGGACGCAAATATGAAGACTCTGAAAGTATTTTAAATTCATGAAAATATTAACTTAGAATACAAAATACACATACACAGATTATCTAAGACTAACCTTTAAAAATGCTCTCTTTTCCAATGTATTCATTATGAAGGGAGGAATCGCTGCAAATGAGGAAAAAAACCCCAACATTAACCTTGGAGAAAAAGGCACTTTGCTTTCATTTTCTGTTAAGATGAACTAATACAATAATACAATTTTCACAGCCTTTTGCCATTAACTGAGCTTTCATTTCACATTGCCAAGTCAAGATACTGGATTGGTATATACGGAGGAAGATTCTCCCAATAAGCAAGACTTCGAATTTCAAATGTAACTAAACCTGAGCTCAGTAACTTGCCACTGGTCAAAGCACGTACTCTTCACTAAACTAATTCCACTCAAGCAGAATTTGCTACCACTCCTCTGCTATCTGCATCTTTTCTGCAAAAGCACCCCAACAGCTTTTCTCCTGCACTTCAGTGTGACACACTGTGGATGTTTTCACAGGAAGAAATGTGCATTTCTTTGTGGAACTTCTTAACAGAAATGTAAATACTGCCTGCATAAGATAATTTGACCTCTGAGAAAAATCACTTATACAGAATTTAAGCTCTCTCTCACACTAGGAACTGATAATCAGGAGCTGCACGTGACTGCAGTTATTCTTACCCATGCCAGGAGCAGCCATAAGAATCCTTGATATAACCACCTGCGTAATCGCCTGCTGAGCTGCTTTTGTGGATTCCCCCAGTCTGTTTCCATTCTCATCTGTGATGGGGATTCCAAACTTCAGTTCTCTGTTGAATAAACGGTAAAAATAAAGCAGTGACTAACATGCATTTATTCACCTTTTTTCTCACCTTATCTTTGTCCCCCTAAAATTATAAGAATTATGTTTTTTATTTTCCAAGGTAGCCTGTCTGTAACACTCCTTGGCTCAAAAATTTCAAAAGGCAGAGACAGATCTGGGGAAAAATATGCTGAAAAGTAAACAACTGAATATTTGTAACAGCAGTCTGCTGCTTGAGCCTGGTCCCATGCATTCCAAGGGAGAAGAAAGAAGACATGTTATTTCTGTAGTCCACAGAAGGGAGAGGATCCTTCAAAAAGCAACTCAGAAAAATGGAATTCTCTGGACTGCTCTGGAAGTAGTTTCCTTTCTCACAGACAATACAGGAGATGCAGGAAGATGAGTTTCACAGAACTAAAACAGAAGTCTTTGTGAAAATTCCCCTCTGGCATTCTAGTCTGAGTTTTCATTTCAACCACTAAGAACATATTTGAAAGTATAAAAGGATGCACAAACCAAACTACATTTCTGTAACTGTTTTATTCGCTGTTAGATCTTTTGCTCAAGTGCAGGGTTAGGTGTTAAACTCATACCCTGGGGAGAACTTCTAGGGGAGGGAGAAGCAGACAGAAGGGCAGGCACACTGAGGACTGCCTTTATTCTTCTCCTCATCTATTATAAGAGATAAAATACTACCATGGATTGAATTTACTTACAAATACAAACTTTAAATATTCCCTTTTCTGCCCGTAACCTTGTGTTTGTAAGAAGGTGCTTTAACTTGTTTTTCCCCACTTCTATTCTTAGTTCTACTCAAATTGGAATATGTATGAAATTTTGTTTCCGAGAAAGTGTGCATTTTTGTAACCTCAGATGATTAAACAGAACTGTAGAGCCTGACTTCTATGACTAACTTCTGCACGTGGGATTCGAAGCACCATTTTTGAAATGACTGTTATTTTTCCAAAGTGGAGTTTGTATTTAAGGGTGCACGTGATCAAGTTTTGAAGGACCAGTACTTGGATTCTGAGATCTCAGACTGAAGAACTCTATGGATATTTATCTGAAGAGAATGTGGATGTTCTATTCATACCTGTCACAATCAATCAAAACAAGATCACGCATGAGATTTTGGCAAGGTTCTGAAACAAGCTAAAGATACATAATGTGTTTTATTTAGTAACTTGCAGCTCTAAAAACTCAGTAACATCCTTTCTTCCAGAATGAGTGATCTTTGATCTTCCTACCTTTGTCTCATTAGTGGAATATTAATGCAGTTAGCAGCAGCAACAGCAGCAAAAGGAACAAACCGTCCTATAAGAGGTGAGACATGCTGTAAAACACAGAGAAAAAAAAAAAGAAAAAAAAAAGAAAATAAAAATAATTATATAATCATTTTCTTTCCCAAAGGTCACATTAAAATGCTTCACGTGTTAATGATAGACCAGACTTATTTCCTTTATATTAAAATTCAGTGAAAACTCAGTGGTGGGGCAGTGGTAAAGCAACAAACAAACACGGCGTAAGTCATAAATACTTCTCTCAGACTAAGCAGTGGCAGGAGACTGGCAAAAGCAATCTTCACTTAGTAGCATCACTGCAGAGAAGTGGCAGCTTCCGAGCATGCCTGTCAGCCCAACAGCAACACTAACAGACCTCGACTTTACTGTCTCTGCTGGCAAGGTCACAGCCAGCAACATCCTTACCGGCTGCTTTGCATCTAAAGGCACTGAACGGAGGCTATTCATCTAGTGAATGTCTTGTATAATCCGAATTACTCTGCTCACAATAGTCTCTCCAATATTTTATCAATGCTATGTCACTCCCAGTACATCAAAGCATAAGCAGAGGGATACAAAATAGATTTCTGCTGGTGTGTTGTTCTTTTTTTTTTTTTGTTGTAAAGGACCTTTTATCCTTGATTGTGTTGTGCACTTGTTTAAAGAATGTGAGTTTTCTGCATTTAAAAGTGGCACCTCCTCACAAGTTCTTCAGACAGTCTAGAGTAGGTATCCACGTTTGCAGAAGTGATACTGCATCTTAAAAACACATTTATACAGTTTACGGAATAATGAATCCACATTGTTGTAATTACGTATCTGCTCCAACTAACTTTCAAATGCTTTTAGATACTTTTACATCTAAAAAGAAACTGAAAAAAAGGCACCTTACTAGATATAGTTTGTATGAACAAAACACAAGACTTTGATATACATATAAGGAGGACAGGCTGTCTGAAATACATGTAAAACCATCTACATGGGGCAAAAATAAGTTTGGGATCTAACAAAGGGAGCTGCCAAAGGCCATTACAACTCCATAGTGGGAGCTGTGCACAACATGACACAGATACACAGGAGGAGAAATGAGCCGTTAGCATCTCACAGAACACCACATTTTAGTTAAGAATGGACAAAAATATCAGCAATACCTTTGTTAGTGCATTAAGCCCTAAAGCTGTTGCGACAGCACCCGTGGTAGCAGAAACATAGGCTGTTCCCAGCTGACTAAAACAAAAATAAAAATGTTTGCACATGCACAACTATATTTATGCCACTTTTAAAACTAATTACATCTTACACATGTAGTTACACCCCCCTCAAAGTCAAGAAGTAGACCTTTCTGTGATACTGCAGTAAGATGTGGATGGAAGATTCAAATGGGACACCAAATTACACACTTTTCTTTCACTAGCAGTAAAAATCACATGCAAGCAACATCTTAACATTGAATCATGTTCTGCTGGTTTTGCATTGCTATCTGTTCAGCATTTTCTCAGGTGTCTGAATGAACACCTTGAAGGATTTAGTTCTGTATTTAATTTCCTAATTGCTTAAACTAATAAAATCAGGCTATGTCTACAATAGTAATTACAGTCAACTGTACCGAAACCCATACATGCAGACTGGCTATACTGCTAACACCCAAATCCAACCCAATCTGCCCTAAAACATACTTTAGTTACTTCCCAGCTAGGAGGTGTCTGTATATCCTTGAGTCCACTGCCTTCTCCCAGACCCCTAGAAGTAAGTCAGCCCCAAAACCAGGAAGCTAAGCACCGCAATTCCAGTCCCCTATTCATGATTTCTAGCTTTCTGCATCTATTTAGTCTCTCTCTTTGCCTTCAAGTAGAAACAAGTACTGTGCAGACCAGTTCCTTGAAGGGTCCTCTTTTTGTAAATAAGCACGCAGTGTGGTGGGTCCTACACTGCAGGGCGCTGAGAAGGTGGCACAGGGACACCTGAAGGTCCACACAAAATTGCAACTTAGAAATATCCTGGTACAACACTGTCCTGGTTTTGGCTGGGATAGAGTTAATTTTCCTCCCAGTAGCTGCTGTGTTTTGGGTTTACTACCTGAAGAATGTCAATAACACTGATGTTTTCAGTTGTTGCGAAGAAATCATGGACTTCTTCCAGTCTCCCACACTCAGCTAATGAGCGAGTACCTGTGCAGGAGCTGGGAGGGAGCACAGCCAGGCAGCCAGCCCAAGATGGCTAACGGAAATATTCCATACCATAGACATCATGCTCAGTATACAAAGGGGGGTTGGCCGGGGGGGGCAGGGAGTTCTTTCTCTTTTCTGTGAGTTCAAACTTTTCTGAGAGTTTGGTCTTTTTTGGGAATCTTGTGAAATTTGTGAAATCCGTGAGTTCCGGGTTCCATGATCACTGCTGGGGTACTGGCTGGAAATTGATCATCAGGCGGTGAGAAGACTGTACTGTATATAGTTTGTTTTGCGTATTCATTATTATAATTATTAGTATTTCCTTTGTTGTCTTATGAACCTGTCTTTATCTCAACCCATCAGTTTTACCTTTTGCCTGTTTCTCCTCCGCATCCCACTGCGGGGCAAGGAGAGGGGTGAGTAAGCGGCTGTCCAGGGCTTAGTTGCCAGCTGCTAGGTTAAAGCACGACAGTCCTTGTCAGTGCCCAATGTCCTAGGCTGCTGCCCATGCCCAAACTGATGAGCACTTTCAAATGGTTGACTGAGCAATGCAACACAGACTCCTATTAAATCCTGCGCTGTTAAGTGCTATGAACAGGGTGCTTAGGCTCATCTTTAATGGCAGAAATGGGAGTTCTTGCCCACATCATTCTCAGACTTCTTGTGTGCACATATCAAATTAATAATAAGTATAGACGAAAAAACTTACCCCTTACCACCTCAACCTTTAAAGCCCAACCATGTTGCAGTACATCAGAGAACAATTTATAAAAACATCAGAATTAACTGGTTCAATGTCTGACCTGACAGTAATTGGGGCATCACCGCTCCTGTTCGTGTAATTTACTATAGCATTGAAGGACTGGTTAATCCACTGCCAGAACACCACTGCTGGTGTCGTTCTTGAAAAGAGAAACAATCACTATTATTAAAAACAGCACAGAGAAATGATGGCAAAGCACGGAAAGACAGTGCAAGCAGTAATCATGCAGAGAGGTTCTTGTTTATGTGAATGAAACCGTACAGTCAAGGAGATACTGTCTTAATAACGAAAAAGTACAAGCTACTTATAAGAACAGGATTTAAAAGCACTGTAATTGAATAGCAAGGCTCACTTGGGACAAAGATTTGTTATAGTACCAAAAGCACTATAGCAAACACCTACAAAAAACCACACAGAGAAATATGAAACTCTCTAATTTCTAGAATACTTCTACAGGGTTATTATTCCTTTACAGTCTATTATTTCTCTTTAGAAGCTCCATAAGTCACTGAGAGGTGGATTTTAGGATACAGGGTTTATCTTCTCAGTCGTCAAAAAGCTAATATGATGTCATTGTTTTAACAAATCCTTGTGACATTAAAACTTTCAGTCGCATGTAGAACCAGATAAAAAGATACTTAACTCCAAAATGAAAAGTTATTTTCATGAAAATAACTGCACGTTTAAGAAGTACAGGTACCGCACAGAAATTAATCTGTTTCAGTACAGCATGAACCAGATGACCAGTCATTTAAAAATAAAAAAAGAGCTCCAAGAAATCCTCATAAATTATGTCAGTGCCAGTATGCAGATGCCTTAGGACAAAAAGGCGCTAACTTGTGAGCATGAGTCAGGGGGATTGAAAAAAATATATTCTGTACAAGTTGCAGAATTTACCAAGCTAAACTGCAGATACAATCGCTTTACAAATGGTTATGCTGATATGTAACAAAACTGACAGTCAATTTGTTTCACAAAGTACAGGGCTGTCTTGTGGAGGGATGAATGCCTTGGCTCTCAAACTAGTAGCATACCTAAACAACAGGACAAGCTTACGAAAATCCACCAAGGGCCATTAAATAAAACACATTAAATAAAACACATTTCTTGGTCCACAAATAGTTGGAGGCTAGGACACTATGCCAGGGGAAACCTTTCTTCGTGTACTCACACCGCATACTCTGCCCCCCGTGGAGAAACCACTGAAGATTCTGCTCCACCAGAATTTCACTCAGACCACCAAAAATAAGAGTTGCTATGGAAAACTATTTCCTGACCATTCAAATAACTTTTCATAGGACTTTAAATAACCACCTGCGTAATCGCCTGCTGAGCTGCTTTTGTGGATTCCCCCAGTCTGTTTCCATTCTCATCTGTGATGGGGATTCCAAACTTCAGTTCTCTGTTGAATAAACGGTAAAAATAAAGCAGTGACTAACATGCATTTATTCACCTTTTTTCTCACCTTATCTTTGTCCCCCTAAAATTATAAGAATTATGTTTTTTATTTTATTTTCCAAGGTAGCCTGTCTGTAACACTCCTTGGCTCAAAAATTTCAAAAGGCAGAGACAGATCTGGGGAAAAATATGCTGAAAAGTAAACAACTGAATATTTGTAACAGCAGTCTGCTGCTTGAGCCTGGTCCCATGCATTCCAAGGGAGAAGAAAGAAGACATGTTATTTCTGTAGTCCACAGAAGGGAGAGGATCCTTCAAAAAGCAACTCAGAAAAATGGAATTCTCTGGACTGCTCTGGAAGTAGTTTCCTTTCTCACAGACAATACAGGAGATGCAGGAAGATGAGTTTCACAGAACTAAAACAGAAGTCTTTGTGAAAATTCCCCTCTGGCATTCTAGTCTGAGTTTTCATTTCAACCACTAAGAACATATTTGAAAGTATAAAAGGATGCACAAACCAAACTACATTTCTGTAACTGTTTTATTCGCTGTTAGATCTTTTGCTCAAGTGCAGGGTTAGGTGTTAAACTCATACCCTGGGGAGAACTTCTAGGGGAGGGAGAAGCAGACAGAAGGGCAGGCACACTGAGGACTGCCTTTATTCTTCTCCTCATCTATTATAAGAGATAAAATACTACCATGGATTGAATTTACTTACAAATACAAACTTTAAATATTCCCTTTTCTGCCCGTAACCTTGTGTTTGTAAGAAGGTGCTTTAACTTGTTTTTCCCCACTTCTATTCTTAGTTCTACTCAAATTGGAATATGTATGAAATTTTGTTTCCGAGAAAGTGTGCATTTTTGTAACCTCAGATGATTAAACAGAACTGTAGAGCCTGACTTCTATGACTAACTTCTGCACGTGGGATTCGAAGCACCATTTTTGAAATGACTGTTATTTTTCCAAAGTGGAGTTTGTATTTAAGGGTGCACGTGATCAAGTTTTGAAGGACCAGTACTTGGATTCTGAGATCTCAGACTGAAGAACTCTATGGATATTTATCTGAAGAGAATGTGGATGTTCTATTCATACCTGTCACAATCAATCAAAACAAGATCACGCATGAGATTTTGGCAAGGTTCTGAAACAAGCTAAAGATACATAATGTGTTTTATTTAGTAACTTGCAGCTCTAAAAACTCAGTAACATCCTTTCTTCCAGAATGAGTGATCTTTGATCTTCCTACCTTTGTCTCATTAGTGGAATATTAATACAGTTAGCAGCAGCAACAGCAGCAAAAGGAACAAACCGTCCTATAAGAGGTGAGACATGCTGTAAAACACAGAGAAAAAAAAAAAGAAAAAAAAAAGAAAATAAAAATAATTATATAATCATTTTCTTTCCCAAAGGTCACATTAAAATGCTTCACGTGTTAATGATAGACCAGACTTATTTCCTTTATATTAAAATTCAGTGAAAACTCAGTGGTGGGGCAGTGGTAAAGCAACAAACAAACACGGCGTAAGTCATAAATACTTCTCTCAGACTAAGCAGTGGCAGGAGACTGGCAAAAGCAATCTTCACTTAGTAGCATCACTGCAGAGAAGTGGCAGCTTCCGAGCATGCCTGTCAGCCCAACAGCAACACTAACAGACCTCGACTTTACTGTCTCTGCTGGCAAGGTCACAGCCAGCAACATCCTTACCGGCTGCTTTGCATCTAAAGGCACTGAACGGAGGCTATTCATCTAGTGAATGTCTTGTATAATCCGAATTACTCTGCTCACAATAGTCTCTCCAATATTTTATCAATGCTATGTCACTCCCAGTACATCAAAGCATAAGCAGAGGGATACAAAATAGATTTCTGCTGGTGTGTTGTTCTTTTTTTTTTTTTGTTGTAAAGGACCTTTTATCCTTGATTGTGTTGTGCACTTGTTTAAAGAATGTGAGTTTTCTGCATTTAAAAGTGGCACCTCCTCACAAGTTCTTCAGACAGTCTAGAGTAGGTATCCACGTTTGCAGAAGTGATACTGCATCTTAAAAACACATTTATACAGTTTACGGAATAATGAATCCACATTGTTGTAATTACGTATCTGCTCCAACTAACTTTCAAATGCTTTTAGATACTTTTACATCTAAAAAGAAACTGAAAAAAAGGCACCTTACTAGATATAGTTTGTATGAACAAAACACAAGACTTTGATATACATATAAGGAGGACAGGCTGTCTGAAATACATGTAAAACCATCTACATGGGGCAAAAATAAGTTTGGGATCTAACAAAGGGAGCTGCCAAAGGCCATTACAACTCCATAGTGGGAGCTGTGCACAACATGACACAGATACACAGGAGGAGAAATGAGCCGTTAGCATCTCACAGAACACCACATTTTAGTTAAGAATGGACAAAAATATCAGCAATACCTTTGTTAGTGCATTAAGCCCTAAAGCTGTTGCGACAGCACCCGTGGTAGCAGAAACATAGGCTGTTCCCAGCTGACTAAAACAAAAATAAAAATGTTTGCACATGCACAACTATATTTATGCCACTTTTAAAACTAATTACATCTTACACATGTAGTTACACCCCCCTCAAAGTCAAGAAGTAGACCTTTCTGTGATACTGCAGTAAGATGTGGATGGAAGATTCAAATGGGACACCAAATTACACACTTTTCTTTCACTAGCAGTAAAAATCACATGCAAGCAACATCTTAACATTGAATCATGTTCTGCTGGTTTTGCATTGCTATCTGTTCAGCATTTTCTCAGGTGTCTGAATGAACACCTTGAAGGATTTAGTTCTGTATTTAATTTCCTAATTGCTTAAACTAATAAAATCAGGCTATGTCTACAATAGTAATTACAGTCAACTGTACCGAAACCCATACATGCAGACTGGCTATACTGCTAACACCCAAATCCAACCCAATCTGCCCTAAAACATACTTTAGTTACTTCCCAGCTAGGAGGTGTCTGTATATCCTTGAGTCCACTGCCTTCTCCCAGACCCCTAGAAGTAAGTCAGCCCCAAAACCAGGAAGCTAAGCACCGCAATTCCAGTCCCCTATTCATGATTTCTAGCTTTCTGCATCTATTTAGTCTCTCTCTTTGCCTTCAAGTAGAAACAAGTACTGTGCAGACCAGTTCCTTGAAGGGTCCTCTTTTTGTAAATAAGCACGCAGTGTGGTGGGTCCTACACTGCAGGGCGCTGAGAAGGTGGCACAGGGACACCTGAAGGTCCACACAAAATTGCAACTTAGAAATATCCTGGTACAACACTGTCCTGGTTTTGGCTGGGATAGAGTTAATTTTCCTCCCAGTAGCTGCTGTGTTTTGGGTTTACTACCTGAAGAATGTCAATAACACTGATGTTTTCAGTTGTTGCGAAGAAATCATGGACTTCTTCCAGTCTCCCACACTCAGCTAATGAGCGAGTACCTGTGCAGGAGCTGGGAGGGAGCACAGCCAGGCAGCCAGCCCAAGATGGCTAACGGAAATATTCCATACCATAGACATCATGCTCAGTATACAAAGGGGGGTTGGCCGGGGGGGGCAGGGAGTTCTTTCTCTTTTCTGTGAGTTCAAACTTTTCTGAGAGTTTGGTCTTTTTTGGGAATCTTGTGAAATTTGTGAAATCCGTGAGTTCCGGGTTCCATGATCACTGCTGGGGTACTGGCTGGAAATTGATCATCAGGCGGTGAGAAGACTGTACTGTATATAGTTTGTTTTGCGTATTCATTATTATAATTATTAGTATTTCCTTTGTTGTCTTATGAACCTGTCTTTATCTCAACCCATCAGTTTTACCTTTTGCCTGTTTCTCCTCCGCATCCCACTGCGGGGCAAGGAGAGGGGTGAGTAAGCGGCTGTCCAGGGCTTAGTTGCCAGCTGCTAGGTTAAAGCACGACAGTCCTTGTCAGTGCCCAATGTCCTAGGCTGCTGCCCATGCCCAAACTGATGAGCACTTTCAAATGGTTGACTGAGCAATGCAACACAGACTCCTATTAAATCCTGCGCTGTTAAGTGCTATGAACAGGGTGCTTAGGCTCATCTTTAATGGCAGAAATGGGAGTTCTTGCCCACATCATTCTCAGACTTCTTGTGTGCACATATCAAATTAATAATAAGTATAGACGAAAAAACTTACCCCTTACCACCTCAACCTTTAAAGCCCAACCATGTTGCAGTACATCAGAGAACAATTTATAAAAACATCAGAATTAACTGGTTCAATGTCTGACCTGACAGTAATTGGGGCATCACCGCTCCTGTTCGTGTAATTTACTATAGCATTGAAGGACTGGTTAATCCACTGCCAGAACACCACTGCTGGTGTCGTTCTTGAAAAGAGAAACAATCACTATTATTAAAAACAGCACAGAGAAATGATGGCAAAGCACGGAAAGACAGTGCAAGCAGTAATCATGCAGAGAGGTTCTTGTTTATGTGAATGAAACCGTACAGTCAAGGAGATACTGTCTTAATAACGAAAAAGTACAAGCTACTTATAAGAACAGGATTTAAAAGCACTGTAATTGAATAGCAAGGCTCACTTGGGACAAAGATTTGTTATAGTACCAAAAGCACTATAGCAAACACCTACAAAAAACCACACAGAGAAATATGAAACTCTCTAATTTCTAGAATACTTCTACAGGGTTATTATTCCTTTACAGTCTATTATTTCTCTTTAGAAGCTCCATAAGTCACTGAGAGGTGGATTTTAGGATACAGGGTTTATCTTCTCAGTCGTCAAAAAGCTAATATGATGTCATTGTTTTAACAAATCCTTGTGACATTAAAACTTTCAGTCGCATGTAGAACCAGATAAAAAGATACTTAACTCCAAAATGAAAAGTTATTTTCATGAAAATAACTGCACGTTTAAGAAGTACAGGTACCGCACAGAAATTAATCTGTTTCAGTACAGCATGAACCAGATGACCAGTCATTTAAAAATAAAAAAAGAGCTCCAAGAAATCCTCATAAATTATGTCAGTGCCAGTATGCAGATGCCTTAGGACAAAAAGGCGCTAACTTGTGAGCATGAGTCAGGGGGATTGAAAAAAATATATTCTGTACAAGTTGCAGAATTTACCAAGCTAAACTGCAGATACAATCGCTTTACAAATGGTTATGCTGATATGTAACAAAACTGACAGTCAATTTGTTTCACAAAGTACAGGGCTGTCTTGTGGAGGGATGAATGCCTTGGCTCTCAAACTAGTAGCATACCTAAACAACAGGACAAGCTTACGAAAATCCACCAAGGGCCATTAAATAAAACACATTAAATAAAACACATTTCTTGGTCCACAAATAGTTGGAGGCTAGGACACTATGCCAGGGGAAACCTTTCTTCGTGTACTCACACCGCATACTCTGCCCCCCGTGGAGAAACCACTGAAGATTCTGCTCCACCAGAATTTCACTCAGACCACCAAAAATAAGAGTTGCTATGGAAAACTATTTCCTGACCATTCAAATAACTTTTCATAGGACTTTAAAGCTTATAATTAATTAAATTATTTAATAACACAGGCAGTAATGGCAACAGGAATGTGGTTCTCATTGGAGGGCTGACAGGGAAATGAAGAGTGCTAAACAAGAAGCAGCAGTTTTACCAATTGTTTTGTAACAGGCAGGAAAGCAAAGAGGAGATGCTAGATTAGAAGATGTGTGTCTGTCATGAGGCTTTGGTTCTGAAAAGGGAAGATATGTTATTTCTTTAAATTAGGCCTGCTATAAAGCTCAGGCATGAGTCACATTGCCTTCCTGCATGCCCAAGAGCCCTCACAGGTACGACGAGGGATTTGCTTCTTCCAGTGGCCAGCAATAACCAGCACACAGTCATGTGCAGTAAGACGGAGGCTACACTGCATCACCCAAGGACTTCTATACAATCCTGTTCATGCTGCTGAGGGTTTGGCCCACAGAAAACAATGTCTTCCAGGCTAACAAATGACCTCATTTCAAATCTAAGTGACTCTACCAATAATGCAAAGAAAAGGTTTGTAGCTGCTGTACATATTATAGATAATAACAGAACATGCATAAAAGAATTACCAGTTAACAGGAAGCTGTGCTTGTGAACAGGCAGCTCTACTGATAGTTTTATTCATATTCTCGACTGTTTTTTAAACACATGCATGTATATGCACTGTTCAAAATGGCTCTGCCTTTCTGGAGTGTGAGTCAAGAATTTGTGAAATCTCAGCATCAAAACCGCTATTGTTATTTCCTCTGACCCTCCCACCAGTTCATGCTAACAAAGCATTGTGTCACAAAAAGATTTCTAACATTGAGTCTACGAACAGATGATACTGGCTTCTGCTGTGGACTTCATTGTACTGCTGACTCAAGAACTATTGAGGAAATGGAAGGATCAAACGGGAGCCAGAGTAACTCCACAACTGACGGATTGAAGTATATTGAGTACTCACTTGGCAGACAGAACATCCTACATGCCAGATCTCTAAGATTAGAAATTCCCAGATGTCTCCTCGTCTTTGTCCTCCACACAACTCTCCTACAAGGATGGGATTTTGGAACATTCAACTTTCCCAGTATGAGAAAAAGCGGGATGGTGCAGGAGAGGGGCTAAGGGCTTATCTAACAACTACTTCTAGAGGAAGCCATTAATTGGTGTAAGGGAATGCAGAGACAGAAAAGAAAGCAAAATTTTACATTTAAAAATATTTATTATAAATCTTCTAAAATGCTCTTTTGACAATAACATTGATTTTTCACTTATCTAATCTGTAGGCAAATGTTTTATGAGTTACACTGCCATCACTTACCTATAAAAGGTCATCATACAACCTGTGATAGTCATGTTCATGGGCACCTGAGCTGACATTCGGCCGATCAAGACCATCTTTTCACCAGTGTCTGGGTGAAAGGCTGAATCATAGATATATTTTGCTCTCCACAAGTCATCTTCTGTCAAGCCAGGTGCCACGATACCTTGTCTTGGGACAAGTTAAAAACCAAAACAAGACAACAGCAAAAAGCACAACTGTTAGAAAACGCTCCAACCTCCAGAAACAAATGTGGCATCAGAGGACTTTGGGATGTTCATACTAAGTTAATCTAGCTTATAGTTAGCTTGTAGATCTTCAGCTTTTAAATGGACTGGTGAAATAAAAAGAATCAAAACTCCCAGCACTGGTTATGTTGGCTGAGTCGATATATCCAGCACCAAACTTCCATTTACTCAAACCTGTACTAGATTTTAGAGCTAAAATGTAGAGCTAAAAATCTTTGGAGTCAGTAGTGCGAAACTCTGAAAATTTACTTTGCAGGTATTTAACTAACTACTTCCTCCAACCAATGCAATGCGTAAGAGGAAGTTTTAAACTCTGTTGTCATATTAACTATTTTCAGAATTAGACACTTCTGTATATCAGAATACTTAATAGGGGTTCTCAGATGATATGATATCCCCATTCATTAGGAACTTTGTTTAAAAAAAGAAAAAGAAGGTGTTTAAAGCTCCGAAATAAGAAGAAAGAGTGGTGCAATGAATAAGCGTCTTAAATACTTCCTTTCAAATATATAACTACGTACTTATCATGGACATGGACGACTTTGGGTCAGCAGTAAAAGTGATCTATGCCATACCTGTAATCATGCACAATTTGTCTTGCATTTTCCAGTTGGGCATCAGATAACAAAATATTCCGGGGGTCTGTTACAGTAAAGAAGTGACTGGCTCGTCCAACAAAAGTGCTTTGATCCCATCGGGGTTCCTTGATATTAATATTTAATGGTATATCTGCTGACATCTTCAAAAACTCTGTGAAGAAAACATCAACATTTCCAATTCATAATTCCTCTGGTTTGATAATGTATCTATAACCTGCAAGATGAAAAGTGGTTATGCTTACAGTAAAAAAAAAAAAACAAACAGAGAAAAACCACTGAACAACTTGTGGAACTGAGCTTCAAAGCAGCCAAAGTATCCTCCCAGAAAGCAGATGATGTCAGACACTGTTATGGGTTTTAATGAGGTTGGCATTGATACAAGTGAAAAAGCAAGAACTTAGTTAAATGCCTACAGAAATGTTTCCGTGCCTGTTTCCCCAAGATATTTCTAAGTTACATCTTTGTAAGAGTGCAAGTATCTGATTCTGAGGTAGAGGTAGATCATATACATGTCCAAATACCTGAGGATGAGGCAGATGCAAAGGAAGTACAGAAATTTATTAGTAAGTAGCTGTACTACATCACAATATACTAATTAGAAGTGTGCTTTATTTCAGTGATGAATTAGTGTTTGCTGAAAATACTGTCTTAGAGGGAAGGAGAAATGAAATATTTCAGGAGATGCCTGTAGAGCTGCTATAAAGTGCAGTGACAGAAGAAATATTTAATAAAATCCAGTTAACTTATGTGGCATAGCAAAACAAAACAAAAATTAGGACCACAAACCCAACAGTTTGTTTTAATAAATTTTGTTTCTCTAAGTCCATGTTTTAACAAAACAAAGATTATATAATGCAACAATTTGCCACATTATGAACACATGACCAGATTGCCTAATGATACTTCAAAGATAGTTAAAGAACTACAATGAAGGGCACTGAACTAACATAGTTCTGCATTTATGAGGCCTAAACCACAGAAAATTAGAAATTACTTCAGAATGGCTGTTTACTTCAACTTCTAATGAAAGAAGGACAGTCCCTGTGTAGCACAAGTTATATGAACTTTAATGTTCTTAAAAGAAATTTCTGCAACATATTCAACAGCCAGTTAAAAAAAAAAAAAGCCATCCTCCAAATAATGTCTGTAATTCAAACAGCCAAAGTAAACTGGATCTATAAAAATGCAGATGGTATCACATAGTATTTTATCTCTCTTAATAGGAAAAAGATCACCATTATGAGGACAACTGATATACATGGTGTAAGCTGTCACTGAAGAGTATTTTCATCTTACTTCAAGAGCACCGTGAAGTTGTCTGAGACATTTTGGTCAATTTGATTAAACTTATATGATGTACAACAGAAAAAAAAAAAAATCACAAAAAGAAAGTAACTAATCATGCAAAGTGTGTCCATCGTAAAAAACTGTAAACTTCATGGAAAAGAGAGACCGTTCACGAAATCTGAAGAAGCTATTGTTCATCTCTCAAATGTAATTATGATCCTCCTCCTCCTCTACCTCAAGTGGAAAAACTTGGAAGTCTTTGGAGAAGTTAATTTCTACAGAAAGAAAGGCTTAAGTCTCCCCAGGTATCATAACAAGTCCTAAATCACCAGCTTTGAGGGACAGGAAGGAGGAGGAAACCAATAAATATTTAGAAGACACTACAGAGCAACACTTCTAGCAAAAAAAAAAAAAAAGAAACAGAATAGTCTACTAGTTGAAAGTGAGCTAAATTGGCTCGATGTAGAAGAAGGAGATTATACACCTTTGTAACATCTCTCACTGGAACCATGAAATCAACTTTGTAAGTCGACGAGGCCTGTGTAAAAATTATTCTGCCTTGAACCACTGTCCAGTCAGAATTGCTGTCCGAGTGGGAAGTACTCAGGGAGAAGACTGTCTTCTCTGCCTTTGCCCAGACTTGTCATTTTTATGCTTATGCAATAGCACAAGCATGACTTTTTTAGGACTTCTGTGGTTGTTTTTATCATTCTGATTTAATTACAATGAAAGCCTAGTGGCCACATACTCTTTTATGGTGTACCGTACAAACATTACGGGAAATATTTGATTTTCTGATATATCATCTGCCAGGAAGAACCGCCAATGACATGCAAATTGCTCAAATTCTTCCCAACATTACAGGGGCTCATGAAGACCACAGAAACTATGTAGGCATAAGCATGATGGCACTGAGCACCAGCCAGGGCTGTAAAGCTGTAAAGATAAGGTTGCAAAAATATGGAGTAATTGCATTACACACGAAGATAAGCAATGTTTACAGAGGATTTGGCTAGTACGTTCTACTCGGCCCTGCAGAATATTCAAGGCAAAGTCCCACAGGTGGTAACGAAGCAAGCAAAGTAACCTACTGCTAGTACACCAAGCTTTGAGAACCCAGCATGGATTAAATAAATAATAATGAAGGGTTGTCCTTCACAATCACAGCATGATTAACAGCTGAATGATGAAAACGTTGTACCTCAGCTAGTATTATTAAATTAGTTTGTTAGAAAATCCTAATTTGGTGTCACTCAACAAAAACGTCCTTCCTTTCATACATTTACTGGTAATTATGCAAAGTTTCTTTAAGTTAAATAATCAGTTTATATTAAAAACCCAAGGAGTTTGTTTTCATAAAATGAAAACAACAAAACAAAGCATTTAGGATGTTTATGCAGTATTTTTATGTTTAGCTTGTATTATTTGCAATAGAATAATGAAAAACGAAAAGCATTTAATAAGCAAGACCTCTGTTTTCCACCAGACTCAAGCTCTTCCTTGAACAAATCATCTCAAATTCTACAGAACAGATCTTATCACTGAATTTTACACAGGCTAAATCACTTTTGTTAAAAGCCGCACAAAAACAATAACTACACACATATTTTTGTTTCCTGCTCTCTAAATGCTCCTGACATGAGGAGAAGCTCAGAGCTGTACTGGCAAAGCAAAGCTGTTTGCCTTTGCAGTGTAGACATCAGTTGTGTAAAACCAAGCTGTGTTTCGACAGATATTGCTGAATTCTGGATCATCATGAACGGACAGCGCAGGCTGCAGGTAGGGCACCAGCAGGATTGCTTTTACCTTGTTCTGATCAACTGTATTAAGAATTTAAACGCTCAATTAATCCTTTCAAGATAACTTTAAAATTACCAGTTTCTACTCCAAGTCATCACGTGCAAGGTCATTTCAAAGACTCCCAAATCAGTATAAATTCTCACAGCTTTTACTGCAGTAACTGACACCCCCCAGCAATCTGACAAAAGCATGAATCATTCCGAATGCTTGGATAAAGGAAAATGTACTGAAATATCCCCAGAAAAATGACACTCTTAAAAGCACGTGATGATTTGAAATCCCAAGGCCAGGGTTATCTGTAACTCTCTCCATCCAACGCAATGCTCTTTCTGTATCAAGATGTGAAAACAGAACAAATTATGCAGTACAGCCAGTTTCCCCTAAGAAAAATTAAGACATTCTTACGACCAGCACTGATCTTACTAAGAACTGAGCACACAGAGCTGGATTTACCCCTTTCTCGGGAGTTAACAAGCTCTGTTCACTTGGCACTGACCCCAACCAGCAGCTCTGAACCCCTGGACACAATGAAGGCTCCAGTAGTGCACCGTCTTCTTTCCCATCAGGTGTACCCTACCTGGAATAGGAGCTATTTGCCGCAGTAAGTTATTGCATAATTTTAGTTTAATACATTAAAATGGCACTGTGAGGTGCAACAGAAAAATACGCTGATTGTATTTGGTGAATGTTAGGAATATTTAAAAGCTATTAGCTCTATAGTGTTTTACCTGTTAAGGAGGTGATCCATTACTGCATAGAAACAGCTGCCAAATATATGTTTCAATGATTAAAATGAACATTGATAAATTTATTTAATATTATTAGATCTGACCTCCTGAATACACTTTCTTGCTCTTTCACTACACCGTTTTCCCTAGTGGCCTTCAATTTTCCTTTGGTACAAGAGACCTAAAGAAAAACATACTGTTCCAAAGGCCTGTTCATGTATTAAAATTTGCAGTAATTAACTCCCATGAGTAAGCATAAAACAAATATACAAGAAGCATCAGCACTGCTGCTCCAACTTACAGCAAATATAGTCGTGCTTCAACCACCCTCAGATCTTGAAGTTTCACCATCAAGTTGGGAAAGGTCCTAAAGCTTCCCAGAATACTAGAAGGCTAATAAATGTGGTGCAGTGCGGGAAACTCATCTTCTTTCCCTCCCTCCATTTCCCATATCCCTCACTGTTAAGTTCATTATTGTACAGCAGCATCAAGAAAATAAGGTGCTGTAGCAATACATAATTTACTGAGCTAACTTTGAAGCACGAAGGCATTTGTATCAGAATTAAACATAATTGACATCAGATCAGTAAAATCTAACACTACTTCTTTTTGCAGCTTACTCCAAAGACATTTAGAGGTGTTATGAGCTTTTCAGCACTCTTAAGGAGCACCATTCTCCCCACACACAGGTAAAAGCAGCAGACAGTTAAATAACATAACTTAGCTCAAGACCACAGGTAAAGTCAGAAACAAGAGCGGAACCTAGACCTCCTGACTATGAACCTGTGTTCTAAGCACTGCTGACACAGCAAGACACAAGTTATTATTTCACAAAAGTAATGATGAGAGACGGAAAGGTGCTGGGTAAGAAGCAGAGACTTCATTCCTCACTTTCAGTTGAATATTCTTGTCCTTTTATTCCACTTTCCTGTTTGCTGCAAGTACTTCCACAGTTACTAAACAGTTTAAAACACCATAACATGGCGACACCTGCAGATTAGTGGGATTATTTTCATGTGACTCATTTCTCACCGGGCATGTTGCAGAATGAACACAGACCATGCAAACAAAAAAAGACTCAGGACAGATTTGGAGAACAGTTCTCATGCAGAGCATTTGAATAGGAGACGCTCCTTAGGGTTTCTCTTCTCTTTCTTAGTACTATACCACTAAAGACACCGTCCTGTGAAGTGGTATGTTGTGAAAAAACAAACCATCTGCTGGTCTAAAATGGTAACAGTTGGTTTTGCAAAGCAGTACTCTATGAAAGTAGGGTGAACTCATTTATTCAAAAATTCTTTTCCACTAAAAAAGAAACTAAATAAATCTGC